ACTGAATTTCCATAGTTGAATTTAACGTGAAGAATGGATCGGCTCATACGTACATGATAAATTTACTAAAAAGTGTTAGATAAAAGGTTTCCCGTTTAAATATAAGTGTTTATGACGTTTTCTACTAATTTAGTAAGTAATATTAACTTTTTATCAACTAAAATCCATTATTTGTAGTTTTACACATATGAAGATTACTTTTTATTTTATTTTTTTAGGGAAAAAAAAATAGTCTATGTCGACGTAGTGCTATAATTTGTACACAGTATTTGCCTTTTGCAAAACTAGTTAAAAAACTGAGATAATCGGCTTAACACTTCTAGTTCTAGTTAACCCAATCTATATTACAGTATTAGTTTAACTTTTTAAACTGTAGACTACACAAATTATGTTAAACTAGGAGAGAACCCGCGCATATGCGCGAATCTTGTTTTAATTTATATTTTAAATAATACATTTTTAGAATTTGTTATGAATTATATTTTTACCATCATTTTTTCATTTAAAATATTTATATTTTCTTCGATTTCTTCTAGATAATACACTATTTGTAATTTATTCGACATGAGTTGTGCCAAATAATCCGATTTTTTTCCTACGGTAATGAGAGACTAAAGATCTACTATTTTAATTTATGTATAAAAACGTAATATCTCATAGAAAAATTTACCATTTTGAGTGTTTTTGGTTATATAAAATTTATTGATTCCATTTTTAAAATTCTAAAAAAAAAACTTTGTACGACATTTTGATGTATCTACTCTTCTTTTTTACTATTACTTTTTTTAATAACTTTTATTTTTATAATCGTTTATTAAATATTTAGTCTTATAATTTTATTAGTAAGAGTTTTATATAGGATTATTTAAAACTTCTTAACTTATTCAGTCTCATAATTTTTTTTCACTTACATTAAAATTTAATGATATTTTTAGTTTGAAAATGTAGTTTAAATCACTTGGAAAAAGGAAATAGAATGGTAGATTTAAAAAAATCTTGTATTATATAATATTTTTAAGTTTTGATATATTTAAAATAAATTTAAATTTGATTATTTAAATAATTTTGTTCATATACATATTAATATTTATTAATGTGCTTTAATGTTTTTCTTTAAATATGATTAATTAAATGTAATTAATTGTTTATTTCATTAAGATTTTAAATGGACAGTGGATTTAAAAAATCTTGTATTATATAATATTTTTAAGTTTTGATATATTTAAAATAAATTTAAATTTTATTTATTTAAATAATTTTGTTCATATACATATTAATATTTATTAATTTGTTTTAATGTTTTTCTTTAAATGTGATTAATTAAATAGTTTTCTTTAAATATAATTAATTGTTTATTTTATTAAGATTTTAAATGAACAGGTGGCGCTTTTTCCAATGCTGATGTGGCAAGCAGCTGGAGAAAGTTGGCCAAGTTTTATATATAACTAGGTGAATATCCGCACATTACGTGCAAATTCTTCTTTTCAATTTTTTTCAATTTTTTATATATTTTTATAAAAAATAATATAATCATCACTTATTACTTATTTACTTGTTAATATTTCATTCTAAAAATTTTAAAATATTAATTTAAAATACATATTGAATATTATTTAATAATTTAAAGTTATATTAAAATTAATAAGTATAATTCAATATTTTTAATTAGTTATAACATAAATTTTGTTTAATATTTACACAAATATTAATTCATAATTAATTAATAAAAAATTAAAATAAATATAATCATCATTTCATTAGTTACTTGTTAGTATTTTATTATAAATAATTTTAAATTTAAAATACATCTGGAATATTATTAAGTAATCTACAGTTATATAAAAATTAAATACATATCTATTAATATTTTGAATCTGTTATAACATAAATGTTTGTTTAACATTAATATAAATGTTAATTATGAGTCAATTAATAAAACAAACTTTTCATATTCTTTAAGTGCTTTAAAATTTAATATTAAAATTTATTAATTAAAATTTAAGTGACAGGTATCAACCTCTCCAATGCTAATGTGTCAAACATATGAAGAAAGTTGAGCAACTTTTATATATAAGATATTTGTCCAAATCATTTGTTAATAGTAATACAATCTGCTCTTTATTCCTTTACAATGTGCTCTTTCATTGTAGTGGTTGCAGTAAATTATATTGAGTACATACCTAATCTTATCATCTATAAAGCCAATCCAGGACTAGTTAGTTACTTTGAACCTATACACTCATGCAACACCCTCAAGGTTTTAACGGATTTTGTATTTTTTTGTCACAACTATTGGTTTAGATTGATCAAGTTGGTAAACTTCTAGATTGGTTATGAACTGAACTTTGTGACCAGTTATTTTAGACATAAGGTTTTCTTATAGTGTTTAGGATGACTTTTTACATAGTTTATAGCTTTTTTTTTTTATAGCTTGAATTGTTTATAGCTTGAATTGTTTTAACACAAAATTTTAGTATGTTGAAGAAATTTCTCAGAAGAAAACTGACAATAACATGAAACAACTAATCCTAGTCAGTAGTAGTCATCCCTCAATCACGAGATTTTTGCCTTGTTGAGCCACTTTTTAACTATCTTATTGAACTAATTTCGTGTTATGTCTTTGTAAAAAAAGACAAAGGGAAGCTGAAATTAAACAATTACACAACTTTATCGTGAAACAGTTGAAGCAACACCTGAAAGTGGAGTAGAAGTCGGATGACAAGGCGCATATGGTAACAATCGCGAGGCTGTTTATGCAATTATAAAATACTACGCCCCTTGTGGACGAAACTAACCTTTGATAATTACTCCTAGTTGAGGTAGTGCAAGGCCTACTCAATCAAGGCAATGTCCTATTATTATTTAAAGAAATTCGAAATTTAAATGATTTTTGTAGAATTTTTAAAATGCAAGGCAATGTCTCAAAGCATTTTCAATGATTTTGTAGAAAATTATTACATTTTAATTTACGATAATAATTAGTGTTAGAATAAGTTATATAATAAATTGTATTGCGGCTATTTGTTTAGAAATAGCTAGACGTGAATCTTTTTAAGCTATACATACGTGTGGAAGGCAAAAAAAATGTATATACAGTATCAAGTCTTTTGGAAAAGCTTATATTATATGTCCTATTTTTTATTTCTTCACCAAAAAATGTGTTGTTTTTTCTTTATCAAAAAAATGTGTTGTTTTTACAAATTTATTGACCAAGCGTTTAGAATTAATGCAAAAGTCCGTTTAACCATCAAATTTGAATAGACAAAATTCAATTACATAAATAAAATTTAGCAAATAAAGTAACGAAGCAAGGAAAAGAAATTACTGGGAGTATATACATTATTTAGTGTGTGTGCAATAATTAGTATGCTTAGGAGTTTAAGTTATTATTGGGGGTAGTTGCCCCATCCTAACCTACGTGTCTCGTTAGTATCTCACTTTCAAATTAGTTATTCAATAACGATGAACTTATGTTTGTTTGATTCTGTTGACATCTATGAATAGATGTTATTTTCTGTAACTAAGATTTTTCTGCCGTCTAAGCTGATATATTTTCTCATTAAATGTATTACAATGGATCACATTATTACCATGAAACGATTTTTTATGTCTAAGATGGAAATTTAATTACATACCTATCACCAATCATATTGGCCATATCTTCATAGAAATTTACTAAACATTGATGGTTTTAGGATTATAATCGCATGGGAGTGTCTTTTTCTGTTCAAATATTGATGGTTTTACGACTATCAATAATTATATATATTTTGCACACCTAAAATTGTTGAAGCTTTTCAAATACTACATTTTGAATAATTTAACTCAATTTCACACGGGGAGAGATCGAAACATTGGCTTTATGGATTGTCACCGGTCGATCACAACTGAGATATAGATAATATGGTCTGACAAAATTTTAGAAAATTTTGGTTTCCTACATGTTAGTTTTAGAAGTGTCTCCTCTAAATAGCATATGTTGATAAATATATTTGAAAATAATAATACAGTGATAAAATTGTAGAAAAGCAAATTTTTACTAGTTTTAATAAATAGTATGTCATTTATTTGAAATTATTTTTTTGTTTAAAATTATGCGCATTTTTTTTCAAAAAATTACGTGCAAATTCACGTTATACTTATTTAGGAAATGTTGCTATTATATTTTATTAAAAAATAAATAAATGACCAACATATAATCATTTAACAAATTATCCTATTTTGAATGCATTGCATTTTGTTAGTATACCTCCATATTGCATTGGCAGTTTAAAAGTTAGAAAAGTATGTTAATTAGTGGTACATGTATATGCTTAGAAACTTACCTTTATTTATTTACTTGTCTAAATCTGGTAATTTTCTTGTTAAATGTGAATCAATACAAAATTTTAATGTTAACCCTTTAGTGGGGGACGTAGCTTCCTAACATTTATGATTTATCTAGAGACAGTAAATTGAATAAGCCCCAAAAAAAAGTTACAAAGAAGGGTTGACCAAAAAAAAGCAAGTTCTTAAAAGTTGACTTAAAATAAGTAAAATGTTAAAAACTATCTAAGAAAATTGTAAAAAGATGGAAAACCCCAAAATTCCATAAATGGTAAAAAGTTAAAACTCCATCAAACCGTTAATCATTGTTAAAGAAAAAATCATTAGGAAACATAAATTCATCAGAAATCTATCTCTCTCTATATCCTCTCCACCCATTGACAGGCACAGATTCTGAAACAAGAAAACCCAGAAACTGAAAAAACAATTGATTTTACCAGAACTTCTTTAACTAATACAGAATCTCACAAACCAAATGTCACTGGTTTTATCTTCTTCTTCTTTTTTTTTTTTTTCTTTAACCTTTGCTACTTTCTGTAGAAAATCCATGAAAAATCAATCAAAAAAGGAAAAATATCTGAAGAAATAAATAAATATAATAAAACAAAAGTAAAACGAAATTTCACCATTTATATTCCTGGTTTAGCCTTCTCTTTCTCTTCTCCCTTAACCCTCATTTCCTTCTGCTCTCTCTTCCTAAGTTTTCTCTCTCTCTAGAACTATAGAGAGAGAAAAGCCTCCATTTTTCATCTCCCTCTCTCCTTCACTTCATAAACCCCATTACACAAAACAGAGCAAAAACCTCACCGTAACATCCTAGAGAGAGAAATCCACCATTGTTTCATTGTAAGAGAGAGAGAGAGAGAAGGAAAATGGATGGTGTTTCGCCGAAGTTTGTGTTGCCGGAGACATTCGACGGCGTGAGGATGGAGATGACAGGCCAACTAGGCATGATCTGGGAACTTGTTAAAGCGCCAGTGATTGTCCCTCTTCTTCAATTAGCGGTTTACATCTGTTTGATAATGTCTGTCATGCTTTTATGTGAGAGGGTTTACATGGGAATCGTCATCGTTCTCGTCAAGCTCTTCTGGAAAAAACCTGATAAACGCTACAAATTCGAGCCCATTCACGATGATGAAGAGCTAGGAAGCTCCAATTTCCCAGTGGTCCTCGTCCAAATCCCCATGTTCAACGAACGAGAGGTCACTTTCCTCTCTCTCCTCTATCTGTTCATTGCTCTGTTTTTCCTCTGTTTTCACCTCATGATTTTTCTTACTTTCATAACCCCAAGTTTTAAGATTTCGAGAAAAGTAGCCTCAGATTATACGGAAAATCACTTTTCCCCACGTAATCCATATTCCTCCGCCGTTCCAAATCCCGAAACGGCGAGAGTCGAGACTCGTATTGCTTTCTTTAATGTTCTGGGATTTTGGGGTTTAATCTGTATAAACCCATAGTTTAGGGCTTAATCCTAGTAAATCGCTAAATTAATGGGGGCTACAAAAAAAGAAAAGTTTTGACAAGATTTTTGCCTCTCCCCGTGATTTTTGCCTTCAGGTTTACAAGCTATCAATAGGAGCGGCGTGTGGACTATCGTGGCCGTCCGATCGTCTCGTGATTCAAGTGTTGGATGACTCAACAGATCCTACTGTTAAGGTATTAGTATTTTTACTTGGTCCATTTTCAGAAAATATAGCTATTGCTTGCATCATTTTTCCACAACTTTCTCTAAATAAAACCATAATTTTATCTCTATCACCTTTTTTTCAAAAGATTTACTTTTCTCAAATAAGGATGTAATATTAGGAGGACTAATATTTTCTCGGTGGGTAAGAAGTAATAAAAAGGGAAAGCTTTTGAACCGACTGTAATAAATTTTGGAACAGTATATAGATATTTCCCTTTTTTTATTTAATTGAAAAAATGTGTGAACTAAAAATGATAATACTTAAAATGTGCAGCAAATGGTGGAAATGGAGTGCCAAAGATGGGCAAGTAAAGGAATCAATATTAGGTATCAAATAAGAGAAAACAGAGTTGGCTACAAAGCCGGTGCTTTAAAGGAAGGACTCAAACGCAGTTATGTCAAACATTGCGAATATGTTGTCATCTTCGACGCTGATTTTCAGCCTGAACCTGATTTTCTTCGCCGTAGCATCCCATTTCTCATCCATAATTCCAACATTGCCCTCGTCCAAGCCCGATGGCGATTCGGTAATGATCTATCTAATTACCCATTTTCTAATATTTTGTTTAAAATGTGTATTTCATCACGTTGTTCCATTTATGGTTTTTGTCATATCGGTTGAGTATCTTAAAAATTTGTTTCATTGATATAAGACTGGTAGTTATAATAGAGAAAAAATTGACATTTGATAATGTTGTCAAGTGTCAGGGTCAAATGACTAACTGAATCGGTGTGTCTTTGTTTATGTTTTTTGAAAAAATTAATGTTGTTTCGATCATTAAATGAAAGCTCGTGGTTTTGGTTTTATAGCTACATTAGTGGTGTCGGTGGTATACGTCCTTAACATTTTTTTTTATACTTTTTCTCGCCTTTTCCTTTTTCTTCCATACTTTATATTTTTCCTGTCATCGCTTTTTTATTTTTGGCTTTTTGAAATGGTCTTTTCGTGATTTTTGTATTTTTCCTTGACATGTTACAATTTTTACATTGGCTCATTGCAGAAGTAGGGTTAGTTCTGTTTGTGTCGGCGGAGTAGCTGCATAGTGTATGGGGTTTCTAGTGGGTCCATTATAGCCAATTAAAATTAGACACGTGTAACAATCGGTGTCCTTTAGTTTACGTTAGTGTTAGGTGCACCTTGTTCCACTGGAACTACTCTCCTCTCAGTAAAAACAAAACCGGGTCGGATTAGTTGCGCGATTCCGGGTCAACGGATAATTTATCCTGACGTCATGTTTCTTATTTGCTCCGGAATATCGGATCCGTCGGTCAGCGAATCGAATTTGTTCGACCCGGTAAAATGGATTCGGGTCGGGTTTTGGACTGAAAGAAGGCGAGTGTTAACTGTTCGTCTTTAGAAATTGTCGGGTCTCTGATAGATTCCACGTGCTCTTTGCCTTTCTTTAAATGCTCAAGTGTGGGACCCATTCTTGTCAGTAATTTAGAAGTAAAGTGTTAGTATACAGTAGGAGTATCGAGTCTACTATGAACCTCCCTTTCTCTTGCCGACACTTGTTAGAATTATTTTAATGATATGTAGTCTTTAAGCATGAGTCCAAACTTAGTGAATTTAATAATGAGAAAGCTATATGAATATGATTGGATTATTAAAGCTAAAAACAAAAGAGAAGGACGTTACTTCCTGATAGTGCCACATTTGGGCAATTCACTTATTGAATGAATAAACAAATAATTGAGCTCTGTTTAGCCTATTAATTATATATTAACAGTAGGGGATTTTTTTTAAGACTGTTGAATTAATCTCATTTTATATGTTTGCAGTAAATTCTAATGAATGCTTGTTGACGAGGATGCAAGAGATGTCGTTGGACTACCATTTCACTGTTGAGCAAGAAGTCGGTTCATCAACACATGCTTTCTTCGGTTTCAACGGTAAACAAATTATAGTGATTACTGAAATTAATTTTTTTTTAAGGAGTTGTGGAAGTAAATATTGGTTGACTATTGATAATTTGATATGGTAGAGTTTAGTGTGATGGAGTGGTATGTTCTCTGACCAATTGAAGCACAGTATGTGGACCCAAACTTGATATTATTATATGGTATGATAGTGTACAACTGTTACTAGAAAACTGAAGAAATAGTAGATATTATTATAAGGAATCTTATTAATATATATAAATAATCAATAATGAGTTGAGAGGAGTGGGGAATCTGAAACGTGAAGCAAGTAGAAGTTTAGTGTAGTTACTTATACTTAAATAGTTGTCATCCCTTGGATAATTTAATTGTTTTATTTTTTTTATTTCATGTGTTTAAATAATTAAGTTGTGTAAAGGGAACACATTCATTACATTATGAATTGTAGTGTAAGCAAATGAAGACGGATCTTAAATTTCTCTGGATATTTTAATAGATTTGTGGTTTTTCGGTTTGTCTAAATGTGTTTTTGTCATAAATAATTTATACAATGCTTATTTTATCATAATATTTTTTTATAGGAACCGCCGGAATCTGGAGAATAGCGGCGATAAATGAAGCCGGCGGGTGGAAAGATAGGACAACCGTGGAAGATATGGACCTCGCCGTCCGAGCAAGTCTCCGTGGCTGGAAATTTCTCTACCTTGGTGACCTTCAGGTTTTTGATTTAAATATCTTCTGAATTTTTCTATGAATTAAAAAATTAAGTACTTAGAATAAATTAAGTCACAGTACAAAAAAGTAGTTGCTAGACAAGATAATCTCATTAAACACATGACAACCGATCCACAAGTTATGTTATAATTATATACCTTTTTAAGAACTTAAGATATTTTGTTATCACTTGTGAATGTAAATATGAATTATTTGTATCTTTGCTGTATTAGGTGAAAAGTGAGCTTCCAAGTACTTTTAGAGCCTTCCGTTTTCAGCAACATAGATGGTCTTGTGGACCTGCAAATCTCTTTAGGAAAATGGTCATGGAGATCATCAGAAACAAGGTAATAAAATAAAACCAAAAGAAAACCCCTTTTTTTTGGATAACTCATTCTTTAATCTGACTATTACTGATCTTTATGCAGAAAGTGAGATTCTGGAAGAAAGTGTATGTAATTTACAGCTTCTTCTTTGTGAGGAAAATCATTGCACATTGGGTTACATTTTGTTTCTACTGCGTTGTTCTTCCTCTAACCATTCTCGTCCCTGAGGTTAAAGTTCCCATATGGGGTTCCGTTTATATCCCTTCCATCATCACCATTCTCAACTCCGTCGGTACTCCCAGGTAAAAGCCGTTACTTCTATAACAAGTCACAGTCACTACCGCGATATGTTTCTTTCTTGATTAGGTTACTTGTATGTCAAGTAACTTGCTTAGTTTCTTTCTTATACTAAAACTCTTATGTCTTATTGATTTTTGTCAAAAGGTCAATTCATCTACTGTTCTATTGGATTCTATTCGAGAATGTGATGTCGCTACACCGGACAAAGGCCACTCTCATTGGTCTGTTTGAGGCAGGTAGAGCTAACGAATGGGTCGTGACTGCTAAGCTTGGAAGCGGTCAAAGCGCTAAAGGGAACACGAAAGGGCTTAAAAAGTTCCCTAGAATCTTCAAATTGCCTGATCGGTAAATTATACCTAAAATGTCTTCTTATTATAAAGTAAACATTATATAGAGACACTTTCCCACTTGATGATTGATTGATTATGAGTTATATATGTCTCAGATTGAATACATTGGAGCTTGGATTTGCGGCATTCTTGTTCGTGTGTGGATGCTATGACTTTGTGCACGGGAAGAACAATTACTTCATCTACTTGTTTCTCCAGACAATGTCTTTCTTCATCAGTGGGCTTGGCTGGATCGGGACTTATGTCTAGAATTAGTTGTTGTGTTCTGTGTTTCAGGGAAAAAAGAGAAGGTGTTATTAATTTTCTGCAAAAATAAAATACAATTTTTCATGGAAAATTTCACAAGGAAAATTGATAGGGGAAAGAAGATAGAGACGTACGGTTTACAAGTAGGAAGAAAGGAAGCGAGTTTTTATCAAAACAAGAAGGAAAGGAGGAAAGGCTCGAAGTGTTCTTTTGATTCAATTTCATTTTTCTGCCTTTCTTTTTTTTTTTTGGTTTTTAAATATAGCTATGGAATTTGTGATTCAGTAATTGTGAGAATTCAATTTTCTTTCTTTTGGCCTTTTTTTTTGGATTTTTTTTTTCTTTCTCTAAAGTGTTAGTTATTTTTCTTTTATGATTTGTAGATTTCGTGTGAGTTAAAATTGTTCGATTGGTGTAAGGGTAAAATTCCTACATAGTTGTCATTAACTATCCATTTTGCCACATTGTATTACCATTTGCGTTTAAGTCTTAGTGCTATTTGTAAAGAAGTTTTAGCTAAGCAATTTAATAATTGTAACTAGTCATAATATGAAGAGTCTTTCACGCAAACCAAACATTTGAGCTAGGCCCTTCCTTCGAAAACCCCTTCATAAACCTGAGAACTTGAGCGGCGACTACGATCGCCTTCCGAAATACAAAACCCTAAAACCAATCAGGTGATTTCATCACCGCCTTTACTTTCCGATTTATGAAACCATAACACCATTTCTGAATTTTTATAGTGTTGATTTTTCGGTCTTGGATTGTTTAAGTATGTGGAAAATCGAGTGCCACTGAATCGAAAATCCTGAAACGAATTCTGAAATTCGTGCTAATTGCGTCAGTCTACATAGATTCTGAGGTCGTCTCTGTAGGATTTTCAGCTCAATTTCGCTATCGGACTTTATGGAGAAAAGCTTTTCGGATTCAATGGATGAAGGCTTTTTGGAATTTAAAGAGAGACGAATGCGCGAGCAATGGCCTGAACTTTACTGGAGAGCTAGAGCGGATATGATTAGCAAATTACCTGACTCTTTGGTATGTCAGATACTCTTGTATCTTCCGACAAAGGAGATTGTTAGGACTAGTGTTTTGTCCAAGAGGTGGAAAAGTCTCTGGCTTTTGATCCCCGAGTTGTCTCTAGACGCTAATCAGTTCCCAAATCACAATGCCCTTGTGAGTTTTATGGACAGTTTCCTCAATTTCTCTAGGAGCACAAGTCATGCTTGCACAAGCTCAAGCTAAGTATTCGAAAGGATGTGAATGATCCGCCCTGTGTCACTCGTTGGACAGACTTTCTGGCTAGGCGTAACTTCAGCATCTTGATGTTGAGTGTCTTGTGAATCGTAAGTTCTTGGAGGTGATGCCTCTAAGCCTTTATATCTGTGACACACTGGTATATCTATGACTCCATCGGGTATCGTTGGGTGAGTTTGAGTCTGTGTCTTTACCTTGTCTCAAGACTATGAGGTTAGAACACAATGTCTATGCCAGCGATGCGGGTCTGGAGTCACTTATCTCGTCTTGCACAGTACTCGAAGATTTGAGCATTGTTAGAATGTTCAAAGATAACATAAAGGTCTTACGAGTGCACTCTCAGACACTAACCAGTCTTCATGTAGACTACTTGTTTGGTGGGGATGATGACATAGACGATGATGAATTTGTTAGAAAAGGCACAGGGGTAATGGTTGATGCCCCTAGACTCAAGTATTTGAAATTCGAAGATGATCAATCAGACAGTAAAATCATAACCAATTCCGGGTCCTTAGCCAAGGTCAATGTTGCTTATGTCTTTCATGAGCATGATGCTGCCGATGAAGTTGACTTACCAAAACGAAATATGGTCCGCAATTTTTTTACCAGTATTTCAGGAGTTAGGGAGATGAAGATCTCTTTGCACACTATGGAGGTAAGATTTGCAATTCATATACATATTCATCGCTTCTATTGTCCCTTGATGAAGTTTTTGCTCACGCATACAACTCTTCTGTTTCTTTCTTTCTTTTGGTGGAGCAGTTTCTCGATTTAAACATGGAATACGACCCACTGCCCCTGTTTTGCAACCTTTCCCATTTAAAAGTGACGTTCTCTTTGTTTAATCTGTATTTGCTGCCAGCCCTTCTCGAGAGCTTTCCGAATCTAAAATCACTCGTCTTCATGTTGGTGAGATGACTTGCACAACCCTAGAGTTTTCACTCAAATACTTTAAGGAATGTCTTATCTTATATATTCATTCATCTTGTCTTCTTTTTTTTTTCTTGTATGTTGTGTTTTCATAGGATTATTTTCCTTCTAGGGTGGAAGAAGCTGTAGCAAGACTCTCATCCACACCTCGTTGTTTGCTGTCATCACTAGAGTCTGTGAAGATAAAAAGTTTCAGCAGAGTGCCTGCTAATATGGAAGTAGCAAGGTACTTTGTAGAAAACTCGGTTGTCCTCAAGAAACTTGTTCTGAATCTGAGGTTTTCCATGTTAGAAGATGGATTTTACATGCTTAGGGATCTTCTTGCACTGCCCAGGCGATCTAGGACGTGTCAAATCCTACTTTGTTGACGGCTAGAGAGGCTTTTAGGTGGGTCTATGATCAGACTGAGAGTAGCATTTCTAGTTGGTTTGTTAAACTGGATTTGGTTTTTTTTTTCTGGATTCTATGATGTTGTGTTTGTGAGCTTTTTGGCCACTAGTTCTGGATGGTGCTTGAGTATTCTATAACCATGATGCTCTTTTTGTCTTCTCTTAAGCCATCTCTACATCATCAGCAAGTTTAACATCAGTTAGACATAAATTGCTACATCAATTGAAACAGGAAGCTACTATTGGTTTAGAGGTAAACTCTTGGTCTAACCGGCTTAGATTAATTTACGTTCAAATATTGCATTAGGATTAAGGTTGAAGGCATGTTTAGTTGACAAGGGTCCAATAATTGAAGCCCATATATAGTTGAGACTCCATCGGGTAATGTTAAGTAAGTTTGAGTCTGCTTCTTTGCCTTGTCTCAAGACTATGCGTTTGGAACACAATGTATATAACAATGAGGCGAGTCTGGAGTCGCTTATCTCGTCTTGCCCAGTTCTTGAAGACTTGAGCATTGTTAGAAGGCTAGATGATAATGTAAAGGTTTTACGAGTGCAGTCCCATACATTAACCAGTCTCAGTATAAAACTTGGTGGCATTGATTTTGAGTTCGAAGATTTGACTGAGGAATTCGAGGATGAAAAGTTTAGGGATTTGAATCTTTTGATTGATGCCCCTAGACTCAAGTATTTGAATCTCGAAGTTTTTCTATCTAAGTGTAGAACCATGAGCAATTGGGATTCCTTAACCGAGGGGGCCCTTTTTCTTTGGAGGATAGTGATGATGAAGTCCGTAATTTTTTTACCAGTATCTCGGGAGTTAGGGATATGCAGATCTCTTACGTGGCTTACGAGGTATATGTCTATGCAATTCACTTATGTCTAATAGTCTTTTTCATTAAAAAAATTTGCTCACCAATATTCTTGATCTCCTTTTTTGTGTGAGTAGTTCATGGAGCCATTTTCACCTCAATTTAGCAACCTGTCCTGTTTGAAAGCAGAGATTTATACATTAGAACTGGAAACGCTGCCAATGTATCTTGCAAGCTGTCCGAATCTAAGATCCCTAATCTTGGTAATGGATTGCACAAACCCAAGAGTTTGCCTCATACGCTTAAGAAATGTGTCAAGTGTTATCCAACATGCATTCATTTTGTGTTTTGTATGTTGTCTTTCACAGGAAGTATTATATCTCTCTGGGTTTGAGCAAACAAGATTCTCGTTCGTGCCTCAGTGTTTGCTCTCATCGCTTGAGTTTGTAGAGATAAAAAGCAGACTCGACAAACACCCTATCGTAACGAAACTAGTAAGTTATTTTGTAGAAAACTCAGTAGTCCTCAAGAAACTCGTTCTGGATCTAGCCGAAGATTCTGTCGTCGTAAGGGACCTCCTTGCATTGCCGAGGCGATCTAGCGAGTGTCAAATCGTAGTATGTTGACCGGTAAAATGTCTCTAAGGTTTGTCTATGATCCGAATCTAGGTTGGACTTTGATTTTTAATTTTGTTGAACTCTGGTGTGTCATGTCTTTTGTGAGTTTTGGCCACTGCCCTTTGGATGATGTTTGAGGATTCCTAAAAATTCTTGTTTAAGTTTTCAAAGTGATTGTGCTTTTGCATTAAGACAAAGTATACGAGCCCGTCGAGAGTTTGCCTTGTTGACTAATTTTGGTTGACGCAAATACCAAAGTCAAAGGTTTATAGCATAATCATATCAACATATGTTTAGATCAAAATAAAGTACACATTTGCTGTTCTTTTTTTGGTAAACAAATTACATATATAACTACATCATTTGACAAGTTTAGTTACAATAACTGAAAAAACAAATAAAATTTGCTATGAGCGAGCTAGGAGCAATTCACAGATCTGGAGAAGACTGGATAAGCTTCTTACCCGAACCTTTGCTATGTCAGGTACTCTCTGATCTTCCTACAAAGATTGCTGTTCGAACTAGCATATTGTCCACTAGATGGAGAAATCTCTGGCTCTCGATTCCTGTCTTGGATGTAGACATCGATGATTTCTTTGATCTCACTACCTTCGTGAGTCTCGTCTCCAAGTATCTAGATTTCTCCACGGAGTCGAGCTTACACACGCTCAAGATTACTTTCAAGAGGCAAGAGGTTGATTTGTTCTCGATCAAGTCGTGGATCGAAACTGCAGTTTTGCGTAAAATCCAACATCTTGAAGTTGACTGTCGTATGAGTTTTATGTGTGAGGTAATGCCTCTAAGCCTCTACTTATGCGAGACTTTGGTTTCACTGAGACTCCATTTCGTTGCGTTGCATAGTTTCGAGTTTGTTTCTTTGCCTAATCTCAAGGTGATGCATTTAGAAGAGAATGTATACGCTGACGATGAGATTCTGGAGAATCTTGTCTCGTCCTGTCAGGTTCTTGAAGCACTGTTGTTAGAAATGTAGATGAGACTGTAAAGATTTTACGGGTGCGCTCTCAAGCACTGAACAGTCTCAAACTCGTTCTTGATAGTTCCAGGTCTTGGTATAATGATGATAGCGAAGGTTGGGAGGTTTTGATTGATGCTCCTCGGCTCAAGTATCTGAGTATTAAAGATGATCAGTCAGCGAGTTTTGTCATAACCAATCTGTGTTCATCTGCAAAGGTAGAGATTGGTGTCAGCTTTAATGTGAACGATATTTGGGATCTAGATGACTCGTTGGAGAGAATCAGCAGTGTCGGTAAATTACTCACCGGGCTCTCGAATGTAAGGGACATGACTCTAAGTGGAACAACCTTGAAGGTAGATATATATAAATATATGTCGATGCAGTAATTGAAGATCTGAATGTTTCTAAAGATGATAAAAAGCCGTATATTCTTTGTTTTTTTGCAGATCATCTGTCAATACTTGAAACACGAACCGATGCCTCAGTTTCATGACATGACTCGTTTTCAAGCAAAGTTGTATGTTTCTGATTTGGAAAAGTTGCCAAGCATTCTTGAAAGCTGTCCAAATCTCCAATCTCTTGTCTTGGTAATGAGTTTGGCCTTAAAACACATTATGTTTTCACTTTCATCGTTATATGTATACTCTCTGATTCATCTGTTGGGGATATTTCCAGAAGCTGAAAGGTATAACGGATAAGGAGGAAATTAGTTTCTCATCAGTGCCAAAGTGTATGCAATCAAGCCTCGAGTACATTGAGCTGAGAAGACCCAACTGTGGAAATGCTGTAGTAGAGATGAAGGTAATAAAGTATTTACTTGAGCATTCGGGAGTCCTCAAGAAGTTCACGCTACGTGTGGACTGTCCTATAAAGGCGCAAGATCCTGTCGTCGTTAGGGAACTAATGAGATTCCGGAGATGTTCTAGTGCTTGTGAAGTCAACGTTGGCATACTTGAAGATGACCCTTAGTAGGTCATAGCATCCGATTTTTCATCACGGTTTTGGTTTGGGATTAGTAATAAACTTTCTTTGAGAGCTTTCCAAATATCAAATGGACTCTTTGTAGTTCTTTGAGGTCTATGGACTCTTTGTAGTGAAGCAAATGATAAAGCAAATGACGAAACAGAGTGATCATTTTCTTCTGAAAGAAGTGACTGAATTTTTCTTCTTTTTCTTGTCCAACAGCTCTGAACATTGTTGTATCACCAAAGCCCAAGTATTTCAATCTTTATTCATAAAAAAAAAAAGGTTCATGATTATTTGGAACTGGAATTGGAAGATTGAAACTGACATCCTCTGTTCTTCCCAGGTATTGGAGGCAGGGCAAGTCGGTAATCTTTTGAGTGGTCCTTAACGTAATCTGAAATAAATAAAAATTCAATGATCTAGTAAAGAAAAACAGTTTGCAATTGATCCTGAGATATGATATAGTATTATTATTTAATGCCTAATGCTTACCCGCTTTCGCTTCCTGCTTCTCCTTGTCATTACAACGATGTCATCAGTCTCATGGCGTCCAGGTGCAAGAATATTTGGATTCCGCATCAAGCAGGACGCAAGCCCTAAATCCCAAGGATTGTTGAGAGAGAGAGCTCTGATGTAATAATAAAGGGATGGCCAAAGAGCTTCCAGTAGCTTGGTAAGTGGAGACGGAGCGAAGCGAGAAATGAATAACGATGTCGAGCAGAGTATGACCTGAGGTCCTGAGACATTGTTGTTTCTTTTCATCAATCAACATAATCCTCTGCTCCAATCAATAAAATAAAGCAATCTTGCGTTTTAAAAAAAAAACACATAATCCTCAGCCTTTGACTTTGACTTTGCAGTTTGGAACTGAAAATTTATTTCTGACTTTGTCCAGAGCTTCTCGATACAGTCACGATACGCGTCGTTTTAACGACATCTATGACAAGCGACTTCCATGAGATGAAGCTAATAAAGTTTTTACATGAGATGAAGCTAATAAAGTTTTTACATGAGATGAAGCTAATAAAGTTTTTACATGAGATGAAGCTAATAAAGTTTTTACATGAGATGAAGCTAATAAAGTTTTTACATGAGATGAAGCTCAGTGTTATAATGGCGGCACTTCAAGTTTTGTGGTTAATAATCAATAAATAAACTGAGAGGAAACGACTTTTCATAACCAAGTTTTCTTTCTCATTCATACTGGCAGTTACTTAAATAGCACATCCGATAATAGGAGATAAAATCTTAAGATAAAAGAAAAATGAAAATAAACGAGGTCTCTATCATCTTCTTAGCTCCAAAAGAAGTGACCCTTCAACATCTACCAAAAACCAAAAACCTCCAATTGCTCAGCTTCTCTAGGCTCTACCCTTGCCCTTTCCCTTGCCCTTGTTGTTGGAACCAAATTGCTTTCCTGAGTTGAATTGCCTGCACAGATCATTAACCATCAATCCCACGATTATACCAATTACATTTTTTTCACATTGTTGAACTTAAGAGAGAGAGAGAGAGAGAGAGAGAGAGAGAGAGAGAGAACTCACTTCTTGTTAGAACCACCGGATGATTGACCTCCTCCAGATTTTGGGCTCTGGTTAGCATACGGACTCTTTCCACCCTTTTTAGCTGGGTGTGGTGTAGCTGTGTGCCCGCCTTTCTTCTTCTCTTCTGTAACAGTGACAATTGAGTTTCTTCTTAAGCCACAATCAAACATTTTGCTTAATCACTCTTACAAGTTTCTAAGAACAGAACTTTATGTGCCTTTCATGTTCTGATCATCTGTCATTGTTCTACACTTTGATGCTCGAATTCATCTAACAAACTAATGACTCTTCAGAGGACCAAGACTACAAAAATCTACAAAGATAAGGTAAAAGACCTGTTTTCTGAGGAGTAGCTGCTGCTGCTGGTTTTGCTTTCTTCGCTGAGACAGGGGTCTTAGATGCAGATGCAGGCTCATTCCTCTTCTTGTTGCTCTGCTCAGGCTTTTCATTAATCATACCAAAAGTAAGGTGAGGCAAATAAAGTTTGTAGAAAGCAAAGCAAAGCAAATGTTAGATAGACAAATGTAACTACCTGCTTAGGGGTCTCCTCTTCTTCTTCATCTGAATCATCCTCGTCATCATCTGAATCATCCTCATCAACATCCATCTACAAAATTCATCACCGGAGAATTTATTACCCTGCTCATCTTCTCAATGTGTGCATATATTCATATAGCAGAGGTCGCAAAACACAAATCACAGACGGGTACAAAAACTTACTCCTTTCAGAGAGTCGGATCCACCATCTTCAGACTCCTCTTCCGAGTCAGATTCATCATCTGATTCGTCTGCTTCAGGCTCCACTTCCACAGGCATGGCCTTTGGCTTTGAGTCAGCCTTGACAACAGCAGCTCCAGAATTTCCTGAAATACAAAAGAAATAAACATTTGAGATAACAAGGTCTTGTTTCAGGAAAAGAAACAGAGACAGCAGCCGCATCCATAGAACATACCATTGGCAGTGACAGCTGCAGGAACCTGCACGTCCTCTTCTTCTGCAGATAAGATATATCAAGACTCATTAGCAACCATGTCAATCAATGTATAAAAGGTCAGAGGGATAACAAGAGAAATGTATCTTGTGACTCACCAGAAGAGTAATCCTCCTCCTCGTCCGTGGAAACACAATCAACAAGAGTGTTAAGGAAACAGCACAACTGATAAGAACTGTGTCATAAACTTTCGGTATCTTCCAGCCAATACAAGTTATAACGTATAACAAAGACACAAGTAGACAAGAAGAACTCAAATAAAAGGATATTGGTCGATGTTGGGGGATTTGTAGCCAATGAAGTGGACACTTCCTCTCTCCAAGCTGTGGGAGAGCTCAAACTCTTTCTCAAAGACAAGATCAAAGCTGATCTGAGGGATGTTGTCTTGAGAAAGTGTTCCAATTACAAGTTTCTTTCCATCAACCGTCACATACAAGAGCGCAGATTCTCCCTTTTTCCCTTTATCAAGTGACGCCTACACATATACAAAATAAAAACAAAAAAAATCAAGAGAGTGATCAACTAGTTCCTGAAACTGGTAGAAATACTCATTAGCGTTTGAGAATAACCTGAGAAACGTGGATAAGGTCTCCTTCATCAGGCTGCACCTTAAGAGGCTTCCCGGCCTTAACTTCAGCTCCTAATCGCATTACAAAATGAAAACAACGAGTCAGTCCTTGTTAGTTTTGAAAATTGAGAAGCATCCTCAAATCAAACGTAGGAGTTCTAATGATGAGTGAGAACCATTTTATTAACAGCCTAAAGACTAAATTAGCTAAACGCAGCTAAGTTTAAGAACATGATTCAACAGGTTCAAATCCAAAAGAAACTTCAAAAAGCCGAGCTAAAAGACCTAAACCATGAATCGAAATCAAACGAGCATGAGTTTTATGCTGGTTATACGGTATAAATGAGCAACACTAATCAGCGATACAAAAACATAAATACAACAGAATCACAGAAAATACGAGTCTCCATGAAAAATCGATCAAAATGAGTTAATAGACGACGAGATAAGAACAGTGAGATGAGATTCTTACCCCAGAATTCCATTGTTGATGACGAGGAAGAGAGAATCAGAGAGAAGAGGAGTTTAGGGGCTGTTTAAGCTGCGAAATAGACAATTGCAGAGGAAGAGGCAGGAGAAAGCAAATGGTTTTGGTGGCAATTTATATTAGAGAGGGTTTTAGAAGAGCGTCCTTAGGGTTTTTGGTGAGTGTCTACGACGTCGTTTTCTTCTGGAGACATTTTGGAAATTTTATATTTTGAATTTTTAATATCTTATATTTTGGTAAAGATCCAGAATTAATGAAGAGAAATTAACTTTCTCTAAACTCGAAGAATCAACAATTTTAACATTTTGATTACGATTCTTGTGTGGCAGGCATCTCTCAGATTATTATTTTGATAAATTTATTTATGAAAAATTATTGGCATTAATTCAATAGGACGGATATTATAAAGAGTTAATTAATTGGAAAACCATGAAGTTGGCTGATATTAGCTCGGTACTCATCTGAGGAAGGAAACCAACAATCACTGTTTAGGAGGGTGTGAGAAATTACAAAAAGAGCCTTAGATAGAGTGGGAATTAATTTAAACTCAATAATAGGGTAGTAATGATTTATTTAGGGAAGCTTAGAGTACCTAAGTGGGATATAATATCTGCGACATATTCGAAGTGGGCTGATATTTCTTTCTCCATCTTGTTTCTCTCTCTATCTTCATCATCGTGTTTTCTCTTCTTTTTTTTTCTTTCTTAAGAACCCAGAAAATCAAAAATCAAAGATTCAGTTTCTACTCCTTATGAAAAAAAACAAAAAAGATCCTTATGAATATCAAAGCTCCAACATAATTTCATGATGGTGTTTGTGTTTAAAGTATTAAAGGTGAAAGGAAACAAATCCAATAAAGTTCAAGTGAATCCCACTAAAGGTTTATCGGAGATACAAATAACATTAGCTAAGCTTGTAAATATTTTACTTAGTAATATAAACTAAATACAATTAATTATTGTTTTTTTTGAGATACGTTGATGGTTAGTCATCTAACATTTTTGTTGGATAGGTTAATCTTTGTATTGGAAGACTAACAATTATTTTATCGAAGATATATATAAAATTACATGTCTAACTATGCACATTATTGAATAATAACATCAGAATACATCTATTGTATTCGGCGTGACATGAGATTAAAAGAAATGGGATGGGACAAATAAAATGTAATCAGCTAATTTGTATGTAAAGTTGCTACAATACAATAGTATTTTTCCTTCTTCATGCTTGATGCACTTGCAGCCGTCCCGTCCAACGATAGTATGTACTACAAGCACTACCATAATGCCAGATTCCACAAAGATTACATTATAGGGATTGTATCTGCATCTAGCATATCAAAATGTCATAAACAATAAAATAGTTCAGCTGAAAAATCCCCTGAAGCAATTAAATATGAGATCGGTAACATTATATGAAAATAGTTTAGAAAAATGTTATCGAGTAACAATCATGTTATTTTGTTAACATTGAAGTTATCTATCTATCTTATTTGTTAGTTGTATAACTTATCATTTATATATGTAAAAAATCAATATTGTCAGCAATAAAAATAATAATGTTAGTGGATAACAGTTTTGTTACTTTGTTAACATTAAGATTATCAATCCAACTGATTTGTTATACATATAATGAATTGTAATAATCATAATCAATTTTGTTAACTAATAAACTGAAACTTTATCTACATTATCATAAAAGAAAAACCCAGAAAATATAAAAAAGTAGAGAGAGATAAGGCACCACAAAAGTTCCTAGATGGAGAAAATCTGAAAATAAGGTACCTGATTGGAAGAGAGAGATGATTACCTCTTATATGATTCTCGGTACACCTTGATTAAGAGAGAAAAAGAATTAGAGGAAAGAGACTAATGGAAGAAAGATGAAGAAGAGAAAAAAAGAGTAGAGAGAAGATGAGGCACCACAAAGCTTTAACCCTGAGATATGAAGTACTTGATTGGAAGAGAGAAGAGATTTTCTGTTATATGATTCTCGGTTTACTTGATTTAGAGAAAGAAAAAATAATTTGGAAGCAAGAGATTAATGAAAGAAAGATGAAGGAGAGAGAAAAAGTAGTAGACATATGTGGTATGGGTGAGTAGAGTAGGTACAGAAGCCGTAGGGACTTCTTTGTCATTAAAAAAATAGAATAGTGTAAACTACAGTGATTAGTTATTTTTACAAATATTTGTTTATCCCTTGCTATGGAGCCTAATTTCTCTATTATAAAACTGTTATACAATTATCTGGAAAGAGAATATAAAAATATAGTATTTTTTTTTAGTGTAGAGAATGATTTTATATAATAACTTTGCATGCGCCTAAACCATTGAACAGTCACCGAAATTGGCATTCATCTACTGCCAATCAGGCGCTCTTAAACATTACCTTCAATCTTTGAGAAACAAACAAACAATGAACCTATTGAAATTCATAAGATTTTTAACAAAACCGTTCATCCTCTGCTTTTTCAAAACCACTATTTACATCCTCCACCTAATTATTACCAATGAAATTAATAAGATTAACAACAACCCCGTTCTCATTATCTACTTTTTCAATAGCACAATAACATTGATTTTCCACAATTATAGTCGATATACCTTCTTCATTTACTAAAAGCTAAAAAAAAGTTAGTAGTTTTTATATAAATGTACATAATTTGATTAAAGCCTAGCGCGAGTCATAATACTAGTTTTCATATAACACATGATATATTTTTAGAAAATAAATATAAAAAGTTTTGATTTAGCTGTGGTCGTCGCTAAGGGATGCCAAAAGGAAGTAATCGGTGAATTTCACATGCAATACCAAAAGATTGGACAACGACGACAGCCATGAAAGTTGGTAAAGCAATAGTATTCGTCTCTCTGGCTAGACATCGTCACCTTGAGCTTCCTTCCTCCCATGTAACTTCCATTTAGTTCTAAAGCCTTCTCATTGTCTCCACAATTTCTAAAATTAATGAAAGCAAATCTGTAAAGAAGAAAAAAAAAAATGTCAAATCTTTAGTTTACATTATAAACTGATAGAGTTGCCACAAAAATTGGAGGAAGAAGTCACAGACCCTAAGGGAACACAGGTTTTACACTCCATGGGAACAAAAACCCTTGTGATCTCTCCACAAGAACCGAAAAGGTTACTCAATGCATTCTTGATTTCATCCCTAGGTCGCACACGTTCCAATCCCTTTACGAAAATGGTTTGATGATTGTTTCCCTTCGCATCTTCACATTCGAAACAGCAAGTATCGTCCTCCCTTTTCTTTGCGGTTTCTTTCTCCTATAAGACAATATGATGATTTCATTAGAATTTAAAAAATTACATGAGCTACGTAAAGTGTAATGCATATCATTTCTCAACCAACAAAACAAATACAACAGCGCCAGCTATAAACAAACAAATACTCCGAACGAAGCCTCTAGTTGATAGGTTTTTGTCGTTTGAATCTCTTGTCGTTTTCTCATAGCTTCAGACAGCTCTTTGATAGATTTTTTCATTTCTTTGATTTCCTGCCATTAGCTTAAAAAGAAGGGGTTCAGCTAAAGGTGCATAAACCTCATAAAAATGGAGAAATTAAGTGAACGTGAACTGGTCGTACGTGGCTTTTCGTAGTAGGTAATTTTCATTTTAATAAACAAGTAATGATTACAGATATACACTAGGTTCCACAGAATTTAACCTCAGATTTCTTCTGCTTCTTTACATTTGCTTTGCTTTCTGAACAAGGTACAAACACGCTCTTACCTAATAAAAAGATGGAACAAAAAACGGTTAAAATGAACATGAGACATTTGATCTCAAAAAAAAAAAAAAAAAAAAAATCAGAACAAAAATTTACAACTCGATTTAAGACTATTTTCTTCCATGATATATACAACTTCAAAGGTACAATGTAAGTGATGTTTTGTGAAAAGCCTATGAAATTAGTTTATAGAAATGTTAATTTTAGTATGAAAACACCAAGAACCAAAACAATTTTGAGCTGAAGGACTGCCACGAGAAGGGACTGGGGAAAAATTTGAAGGCATCATTTTTTAAATATTTCCTTTGTTATTACTTTAACCATTCATAACAAAGGTTCAAGCCCCCTAGATGTAAAATGTAAAGTTTGATAGAGGTTTCTAAAGGATGTGGTGTGGTGTAGCTGTTTGCCAGCCTTTCTGTTTCTTTTTTGTAACAAAGACAATGAGTTTGTTCTTAAGCCAAAGAAACATGTTGTTTCATCACTCACTCTTACAATTCTTATTAAAGCACTTTATATGTCCTACCTTCATCATTCTGATTATTTGTCATAGTTAATACACTTAATGCTAGAACGTCTCATATAACCAAACTAATGATTCTCAAGAACAAAACCAGAGGAATCTACAAAAAATCAAGGTAAAGAGTTTATCAATTTTTACCTGTCCTCTGAGGAGTAGAGGCTGCTGCTGCTGCTGCTGCTGCAGGTTTCCTCTTCCTGTTGCATGGCTCAAGCTTTTCAACAATCATACAAACAGTGATGTGAGTCAAATGACTTTTGTAGAAAGCAAATTAAGCAGAGCAAACGCTAGATAAACATATGTATCTACCTGCTTAGGAGACTGGTGGCCAGTAAAGTGGACACTTCCACTCTGTAAGCTGTGGGAAAGCTCAAACTCTTTATGAAAGTGAAGATCAAGACTGATATGTCGGACATTTCCATCTGGAAGAGTTCCAATGACGATTTTCTTCTCCTCAATAGTCACATATAAGTAGGCAGAGTGTTCTCCTTCTGCCATGACTGCCACCCTATCGAGTGATGCCTATATATAGGAAGAGCAAAAAAAAAAAAAAAATCAATAGAATGAATAATTTGTTCCCAAAAACTGATAGAAACTCCCATTCAAGCGTTTTGAGAAAAAAAAAACCTTAGACATGAAGATACGGCAGTCTTCATTAGGGATCACTTTAATAGACTCCCCGGCCTGAACTTCAAGTCCTAATTAACAACACGAGTCAGTTGCACTGATCAACCTCTAATCAAACGCATGAGATAAGAACATAACTAAACTAGCTAAACGCAGCTAAGTATGAAAACATGATTTAACAGGTTCAAATATCCAAAAGAAACTTCAAAAAGGCACGCTAAAAGACCTAAACCATGAATCGAAATCAAACGAGCAAATAGACGCGGAGATGAGAACATCGAAGAGAGATTCTTACCCCAGAATTCCATTGTTGATGAACAAGGAAGAGAAAACTTGAGAGAAAAGGAGTTAGAGCTTAGGGTTTCTGGTGAGTCTCGACGACGTACTTTTTTTGGTCTTTCGTGTAAAAGCTTGAATAGTTGGAATGTTGCGTATTTAAAAAACATTCACATTTTGGAGATTTCACATAATTGAATAATTAGTTAAATATATTGATAAAGATCCAGAATTGACAAATTAACTTATTCAGAGATTATCTTCGTCATTAGAAGAGAATAAAGCAGCAATGGATAATCTTCAGTTTTTTTTTTTATAGTTGCGATAAATATTTATTAGACAATACAACAAAAAGAATTCAAATGATATCTGTCCACCACGAAAGAAGAGGAGAAGAAGCCTGAAGGGTACAGAAGAAGAAAACTCAAAGCTAAAGCTAAGCAAGAAGAGACTCAAGACAAGACAGGAGTCTCTGCAAACAAATTAGAACACTTTGCCTGAACCTGAAGCGACAAAACAGCGTCCATTTCCCCAACAGGTGTATTCCTGAGCCAACCTTGATATTGTTTCCCGGAAAACCTTAGGTCTTCACCGGAGCTGCTTTCAGGAGAAGGACATGATGCATTGCAAGATAGTAGACGCGATAGAGACAATAACTGAGACTGAGATCTTGAGCTTCTCTGGACACAACCCGGGTTTGATACCTTTACCATCTTCAATCTGGTTTGGTTACTTAACAATGGTGGAAAATGGATTGAAGCTGATGGGTTTTTATCTGCACCTTTGATGATTCCTGAGATCGTTTTTGATGGTTTTGCTCGGTTTTGCTTCCATGCTAAAAAAGATCTCTCTAGTGTTGACGGTACCTGTAAACGAATAGAAACATATGAACACTAATGTTGTCTAGTCAATTAAATACGAGAGTAAAAAGGGAGAAAATATTACCGCGGGAAAGAGGGTACACGAAGCAAAAGACAATGAGGATGTTGAAAAGGGAGAATTCCTACTTCGTTTGTCCACAGATCCAAAACTCGATGGTCCAAGATCATCATCATCATCATCATCATCATCATCTCTTCCTTCATCATCATCATCATCGTCATCATCATCTTTGGATTCCTCTTCCTTTTTCTTCTCTTGTGTCTTCTCTTTGGCAGTGACAACTTTCTCTTCTTTATAAATCGGGACAAACACATCTTCATCCTCTTCAGTCAAACCCATTTCGGTTTTCTTTTCCTCTTCTTGTTCTTTCTTCTTTAGTTCCTCATCCATATCCTCTATAGCCTCCTCTAAGCAAATCTCAGCCTCTACTAACTCAAGCTCCTTCTGTATCATCTCCTTTCTCTCCTCGTTTGCTTTCTTTTTCTCCTCTGTCCATTTCTCTAATCCGTCAAGCAATGGCTTCATCGCTTTCTCAATTCCAAGTACGAATTTTTTAACCGGGTGTTCCTCTTTCACGGCCACTTCTTTCCCATAAAACTCATCAAACCCAAGTGGCAAAAACTCGGCTTTTGCAGGATCCACATCTTCCCCTTCCTCCAGAGGAGGCTGCCAAAATAGTCGAACGCCGTGCTTTTCATCCTCGACATAGTTGATTATCCGACCCGTTGGCGTGTGTAAAATAACAGGGTCCTCCTTCTGGACAAGTTTCGAAGGATCTTCTGGATCAGGTTCGGGTTCTTTGTTCAGTAAGACAAACTCTGGTGTCACCTCCACTGATCAAGAAAAATTTAAGACTCAGTAAAACGTTCAACAGAACATCCATATTCATCAATGTAAGACCAAAAACGTTAAGGATCATTACCGTTTTCCCACCAATGTTCGAGCTCAGCGGGCATTGGTAACCTCAAAGGAGCTTTGTAAAAAGAGTTCAACCACATTTCTCTTTCTTGATCCACCTCATCTACATAGGCTTCCCAATACTCAGGTACCTACCAAAAAGACAGATTCTTAAGTCCCTTGTGTGATCAGTGAACCAACTCGAAAAACTTGATGAGAAAATGACGCACTTCATAAAATTGGTTAATGAAACCCGGCGCCATCCACACGTCATCTTCTTCATAAAAATAAGCATGTTGAGGATCACCGTATGGGCCCCTCTCTTCTCTAACCACTGCATATACAGAAGAGAAAAAAAAACACCTTCAGCTCCAAACTAAACTAACACCATACTGTAAAATGACCAGCTTCTTCTTCTTTTTTCCATAAGCTAGACATTGCTTGAAATAAAAGCAAAACATATAGTTCAAACAGAATGACGGTTACTAGACAAAGTCCTGCACTGATGTAAAAAAATACGACAACCCTTTTAACATGTCTTGGTTTAAATACCTAAAATATATAACAATAACATAAGTAATGGTAAAGAAGAGGGGCCATACTTCCGTCGGGTTTGTTTACAAACATTCGCGCCTTAGCGGCAGCCACCTCTGCCAAACCAGAATGCAGCTGAAAACGTGTTCACATCAGTATATTTATCATTCCTTCTTTGCTGTAACTTATATGTATCATGAAGAAAAAAAATGGATAACTACCGCACAAATATCTACGGTACAGCCATGCTCCTCATCCAATAGCTCCCCAAAGTAGAATCTACCCTGCATTGCCATTAAGGTATAAACCAGTGTCACAGACACGAATATTCACCAAAGAAAATGTGTCATCGAGGATAACATTATACTTTAACCATCAAGGATTCATACGAGGGGTACCAAATATAGAAGCTATTTTTAGGATTAATCAGATCAGAGAGAATTTAATGTAATCACGACCAGTTTTTCCTTTTACTCACATATAGGAGGCGCTCGTTAACTTCGTAGACACCACACCCATGCATTCTACCGTGCTTCCATTGACCAGCATAGCGATACCGACCTTTCTCCCTAGTACAAAAAACCATATCATATACAATGTCTAAATACGAATAGAGATGGAATCAGCTAAAATATTAGTTCAAGTAATCGTCTAGTCCAGCAATATATCTAATGAGGTCAACAAATCAACATATTAGCCCAATGCTAAGATGTAAGCCATCCAGTAAGGATTTTATCAATGCAAACTCACGGTTTTTCGCCAAACTGCGTGACCCACTCTTCGTTTTCATAAAAGGGAACTTGGTAATTCCCATCAGTAAGTGCAATACTGTCCTCGACATCCATTTCCAACCACTTTCTGTCTTCTGGAGTCATATAATCTCTCTTGATAATCCTTCCTTCAGCACGCATCTTAGCTTCAAGCCTACATAGAAAGAAAGAACCGTTATCCTACTCAAACGACTATGTCCATTGAATCCCCTGGGACGATTAATAGGAACGATAATCGTACTTGGAACCTGGCATGGGCTCAATGTCAGGAATGTCAACTTCAATAACCCCATGACCTTCCATATCATTCTGAAGCCATTCACCCTCATACCTTAACATAACCAACACCCAAAAAATTTCTTGGGTCATCGAAAATTTATGTACAACATCAACAAGAGAAAGAAAATACAGGTAAAACCACGAATCAGAAATATCACCTAACAAGCCCTTCTTCAGCAATATAAACACCTTTGCCCTGAGCCAAGTCATCCCAGACAGTGCCTTCATACCTTTAGCGATGAACAAAAGAGAGAGAAAATGGTGAGATATGAAGCTACTAAATCAAGATAACAAAGATGGAAGTATTCACCTCAAAGCTACCCAAACAGATGAAGAAATCTTTTGAACCTGATCCCTAGAAAGTTTCTAATGCTCTACAATTCAAACTCTACTTAGATAAGAACAATGTACAACATAGAATGTCTACTTCACGAGAAGTCAATCTGCAGCTAATAGAACAACAACAACAACAACAAATATCAGGGAAGATGAGGGTATTACGAGCTTCCGTCAGGGAAAATGTAGCTGACCCATTGAAGAAACTCTTCAATCCTATCAAGCTCCTCAACAACAGCTTTAGCGTTATCAATATCATAGTGATTATCTGGAATCGCCGGGAACGGTTTCCTGTACGGAACATAGAAAGGCTGAATCCCAGGATCTCGACCTTCCTGAATCTCTTCGTTGACGACATCCCAATCCTCTTCGTCGGCCCAAACCGGGTCCCAACCGGGCTTCTTCATCTCCAATGGAGCATCCGCCCAAATCTCCCTGAGATCCTCTTCCTTCCACCGTTCAGGGTCCCTGGGGAAATCGAAGAGATCTTCATAGAACGTGTACTTGTCTTCTTCTTCCTCCTGAAGACGCTTAACGCGCTTGCTAGCGAGCACGCGATTGAATCGGCGGATGTTGGTCTCCGGGTTAGCGTTGGGATCAGGAGGTATGTCGCTAGGTCGCACGTAGTTGAGGATGCCGGTATCGCCTTCAGCTTCGTTGTCGGAGTCGGAGATGTAGAAATCGTCGCCGGAGGATTGGGAGGACGAGTCCGAGTCAGAGCCGGAGCCAATTTCTTCATCATCCGCATTGGGTGATTGTTGGTCTTGACTCGGGTCCTCCTGTTGCTGCTGTGACTCGGTGAGCTCGGGTGAGTCGTCGTCCATGGGAGGAGGGATAAAGGAAAGAGGAGGAAGTGGATGTTGAAGAGTGTTTGCAGATAAGAGAGTGTGAGAAGGTGAGGTTTTGGTGTTTAATGTTCAAAGGGTTTATTTTGTGTGTAAAATAAAACGAACACTGAAAAAAAAAACATTCCGATAATTCATATTTCGACCCTGTTTATTTTGTTTTATTCATTTCCGCCCTGTAAGTTTCATAATTTTATAAAATGCACGTAATTAATTATGCTTGAGTTGAGTACTACTAATAAATCCATTAATTTTTCTTTTAAGAATGTATATCTTCAATGAAACATATATATCTTCAATGAAACCTCTAGCAGATCGGCATTTTTCAATAGAATCTCTTGTAGTTTCTTCATATCTTCAGACAACTCTTTGATAGATTTCTTTGATTTCCTGCAATTGGATTAAAAGTAATGAATTACAAAACTGGTAAAAACAAATCAAACTCTTTACTGGCTTGCATTTTTCGAGACAATTTTTTCATCATCATATTCTTGCAGAAATCAACCAAATTACATGGTTATTGTCAAAGAATGAAACATCACAACCTCATAGGATAAGTACATAACTTTTCAATAGAGTCGATGCGATTTAACAGGGTAATTTCTTAAGTTTTCAAGGCAAAAGTAAAAAAACAAAAGTGTTCAGCTAAAGCTGTATAAACCATTAAACTCATAAAAATAGAGAAATTAAGTGAACGTGAACTGCTCGTAGCTTCTTAGTAGGTAGTTTTAATATTACAGATATACACTAATTTCCACAGAATCTAACCTCAGATATCTCCTTGTGCTTCTTCAGATTTGCTTTGCTCTTTGAACAAGGCACCAACACGCTCTTAGCTAATAGAAAGACGGAATAAAAAAAAAAAAAAGGTTGAAATCAACGGCATATGATCTAAAAAAAAAGATCATTCAGAACAAAAATTTACAGCTCGATATATCTGTATATCTTCTTGAAACTAAGTCATGATTAAAGGTACAATGTAAGTGATGTTTGTGAAAAACCAATAAAATTTACTAGGAAATATATCCAACATCAGAAGTTAGAATGAGATTTTAAGCAATATATAAAAAATATTAGTCAATTCACTCATTGCCAATTGGTTTTGAGTTGTAGCTCACTTAACTTAATATGATATTAGAACTTGATCTATACGATTTAATCTAATCCATTATTAACCTGACCCAAAGTTGATTTTATTGATCCAAACCCAAACATATTGAGATTGATGGCCACAGAACTATCATTTCCAGAGGGAAGTATTATAAGAAATATATATCACATCAAAAATTGGAAGAAATCTATTATATAAGAAACATGAGTGAACTCACCAATTGGTTTTGAGTTGGAAGTTCATGTAATTTAATAAAATTAGTTTATAAAAATGTTAATTTTTGTATGTAAAAACAGAATCAAAACTATTTTGATTTGAAGAATAGATCTGAGCGAGGCTAGGGAAGCAAATGCAAAAAGACAATGAGTTCTTAAGCCAAAAAAACATTTTGTTTCATCACTCACTCTTACAAGTTCTATTGAAGAACTTTATAAGACGTTCATCATTCTGATTATTTGTCATATTTAATACAGTTAATGCTAGAACGACTCATATAACTAACTAGTGATTATCAAGAACAGAACCAGATGAACCTTCAAAAACAAGGTAACTTGTCCTCCGAGGAGTAGAGGCTGCTACTGCTGCCAAATTTGGCCTTCTTTGATGAGTCAGGCGTTATGGATGCAGATTCATTCGCCCTCTTTTTGTTGCTCGGCTTCATCCTTAGGCAAACAATATTTTTGACAACTTCAAATTATTCCAATTTTTTCTTCACTAGTTTCTTCAGAACATCATTGACAAAGCGAAACCAAATTCAGTAATATTGTATGAATCTAAGTGTGCAGATCATCCTGATCAGTAGGCAGCATTAACTTGTTCAATGTTTGTGTAGATCATCACCAATTTTCTGAAAAACTGAAACAAAATAAAGGCATTATTAAAGAAAAAAAAGTTCAAGAGAAGAGAAAAATAAAGATAATAAGAATACCATGAAAACAAGAAGATTTTATCAGTGGCTTGCTTATTATCTTGATTTAAAACACAACTTACAAGTGTTTAAGTCAGGTTTTAATATATTATAAGCTTAACTCGAAGAGGCTTGTAATGATTTCCTGAAATGGTGATTTATCACCGTTTATAGACAGATCAAATTGATTGCTCGTTAGTAGTGGTTCTAGTTCATCTTTTTGTGTGTATATTCATATTTTGGCTCTCTTTCTGGCCTTTTCTCTTTTGAACTTGTGTGGTTATGGATATTTTTTTGTTGGAGGTTGTAATGATTTTCTATATTAATATTATAATTCAAAGAAGAAAACTGCTGAATTAATGGTTAATCCCCATATGTCACGCATGACCTATCATAAATAGGTTCGAATTTTCACGTTCAGTGGAAAAAGCCAAAAAAGGTGTTTGAAAACCACTGGAGACCATAACCTTAATGAACAAAAAAAAACATTATTTTGTGGAACAAAATTCATATATTACATTATTTACAAAAGGGAAATTCCATGAATATATTTTTCGGCAGTTTTTATTAAAAAAAAAAAAACTCGGCAGTCGCGCGTTACATAAAGTTTATAGAAAAAACATTTCTCCTTGCTCTCTCTCTCTTCATTGCCTTGCTCGACCATTGAACCAGTCACATGTTGCATTTACAGTGCCTTCGCAGACCAATCTAGCTACAAGAGCAAAGGCTTATAGAAAAAACAAATCCTAGAAATCTACAAGTTTTTTTATAGTCCAATTTAACCGAAGCTTTTCTTTTTTTAGCGATAAAATCTAATGGAATAGCAAAAAACAAAATAAATAACGTTTTGAGATCGGTTATATATATTTTTCTTAAACCAAACATTTCTTCATCGATCACTTGATTTTCAAATTTCTATAGATTAATTTGAGAATATATCTGAAGATTTAAGAAACTTTTGGATTATTACGTAAGTTAACTAAAAAAGTGTTTCTACATCACAATACCTAACACAAGAACCTGATTCATTCTTTGTTAGAACGGGCGACGTTAGAGAGATGCATGTATAATCATTCAAAACAACATAATAATATAATTTGTACGAGTTTCACAGGACTAGAAATAAACAGAAGAATAATAATTATTATTTTTACTCTAAGCAGAATAAGAATTAAACAATGCAAAATATTAATTATAAGTTATGAACAACTTCACTAAAAATTAACTATTGACGTAGGCTTCCATGTCTTCATATTACTTAGAAATATTGCGCTCATAATTTAAGAAAAACAATATACAAAAGCGCAAAAAACCTCCACTTGCAACACATCATAACCTCGTTTATCTTATGCCATCTTATGCCATTTCTTGGACCACAAACAGATTCTTCCATAGAGTTTTGTCTAGTCACTAAGAGCATGCAGTATAACTTAAACCGCAATCAAACCAAAACCAAAACCAAATGCTTAACCGGGATCTAGACAAGTCGGCAGATCCTAAGTGCATGTCCCTCCCCACTCACCAACTACCACAGTGTGCTCGATCTCCCTTTCTCCTACCTACCACCCCACTCCACTCCTGATTTGATTAACCCTTCTATAACACTAATAAGATAATGAAAGTGTTTTGATCATATTTGTCTTGTCATGGCGAATGAATGATAGTGATACATGATTAATTAAGTAGTTGGCTTCAAAAATATGACTGAGAAATGATGATTCAAGCTTACACACGTATACTATCAAAAACTGATTCCAAACATAAAATACTAAGAAAAAAGAAGAAGACAACTTTCTAATCTATCACAAAAACAAAACACATGAAAAATAAAGCACATGACGAGGTTAATAAATTTTCGATTGGTATGTCAAATTTCACTCTCCCACCAAACCCTTATAACAGAGTAAATTGACATAATTATATATTGTACCGTCGTCACATTTGTCTCCAATTATAAGTTTAAAATTAATACAATAGAACATGCGTGTCTATGAGTATAATAGGCCGCCATGGCATGATTCACATTATATCTCCAATCATTGTCGATGGACCCAATAACTGCTCAAATCAGTTCGTACTGCTTGATCGTAAGTTTCATGCTTATAAGTTATGACCAAGACGGCAAGACTCTCTTTTGAATTTATTATTGGTTTACCTTTAGTTGGCAGCTGCAGTGTCTTCTCATAAACACGTTAACGTTCATCATATATACAAAATTGTGAGACATTCTAGAAATGTATCTACAAAATCTATAAAACATAGGTGGGAACACATACATAGTATAAATTACGATGAAGTCACGTTAGATATTCAAACAACATATTAACACTTAAGTTTCGTGGAAACTATATATGCCTGTTTTTTTTTCTTGGAAACTCAAAGTTGGCTTCCTGATCAAGATAGTTGAGATTTTTCCTAAAAAATAATCAATGAAAATTCATGGAAGTTTGCATAGTACACGACCATATGGATGGCTATACTTTGTTTCAAAGGAAGAAACATCAAACCGAACTTATGTTCACACGTAAAGTTTGACATTTGTAATTTATCAACTTGTTTCTTTTTGTTTATCGAGTCGTAATTTAATAATTAACTTAAAGGTTTAGAAAATAGAAACTGAAAGTCTTTCTTGTTTTAGAAAACAACCTTTGCTTGTATATATATTACTCATAAAATCTATTTGAAAAACCGTAGAGTCGAGTATGACGTATAACATATGTAACATTGTGATTTATAATATTGTCGTAATTGTGTTACCAACTTACCATCTAGATCTAAACTCAAATATGTAATAAGCAAAATAGAGTGTCTTTGTGGAATCTGATTATATGTGATCGTGGAAGTTTACATTATGTTACCCAAAAGAATACTATACTATACGTTACATATCAATCTTAAATCATAGTATCTGAATTGACCGAAAAAAAAAGACTTTATTTGTAAGAAATGTCTTCATTTGATTTGTATCATCAGAGCCAAACTACAAACCGTTCTTGACAACTTGTTTCAAAAGTAGCACATACACAAAATATTTGGTGATAGGTCACAGGAGATATAAAATAATATTATTCTCCTACTTTCACATCCAAAACGAGCTCTACATTTTCTACTTGATTTGGTTTCCCACTGTATCTTATAAATTTAAACAAATATGATAATTTTTTTTTTCATAGGTTATTATAATAGTGATAAATATACATACGGTCATACGTCTTCGCTAGGTAGCGTCGACCATGGCGTCATATCCATGGGGTAACTTCCCAACACCCTGAGGAATGACGTGTACTCCTGAACCTCCGCGAGCGCGTTTTGCGCACGCGCCTCCGCCATCGACGCTTCGAAATCAACGTAGAAAGTATACTCGAAATGCTTCGACGTCCCGACGCTCCCGTCGCCGACGACTCTGACCGGGCAGTTGTGGTGCGGCCGCGATTCGATTTTCGTCAGGCTGATGTTTCGAAACGCAAACGCGGAAAGCACTTTGAAGAGGACGCTGGTTCCTTTGTGTTCCTGAGCGGCGAAGACGATGCTGGTTTTGAAGGGACGATCCGTGCGAGGGATGATCGGATCACGCGCCAGCATCAGGAAGCGCGTGACGTTCCCGGCGTCGTCTTGGATCCCGTCGGCGAGGATCTGGAGTCCGTAGAGCTCCGCCGCTCTCGCGCTCGCTACAGCCGCCGTATCGTGGAGGTTGTTCGCGGCGATGTACTCCGCCGCAGCCGCTGTGTCGTGAAACGCCTCGATCGCGGCTTTGGGAGTGAGTTTGTTGAGCGATCCTTCCGTCTGGGCAAGAGCTTGGGGATGCGAGATCACGCGCGTGATGCAATCGGCACGGACTCCGGGAAGCGCGAGGAGGCAGTGGTGGACAGGGATCTGAACCTCGCCGACGATGTGGAGACGGTGACGGAGGAGGAGATCGTAGTTTCTGTGGATCGAACCGCCGAGAGAATTCTCGACTGGGAGGACGGCGCGATCGGCGATCCAGAGCTCCACCGCTTGAAACGCGACATCGAATTGATCGCAGGGAATAGCTTCAGAGTTCGGGTAAGCTTTTCCGGCGGCAGCTTCGGAGTACGCGCCGGGAACTCCTTGATACGCCACACGGAGTGTGGATCCGTGCGCCGGCGCCGGCGAGAGATCAGTAATCGTTAACGGCTGAATCAATCCAGGCTTTCCGTTCTTCTTCGTCTCGGAATGAACGAGGCTGAGATTGACGGAGCCGTTACTGTGTCCGTTAACGGCGGCGACTTGATCGGCTAAACCGCCGGTGACGGAGCTGGAATTCTCAGCGGAAGCTACTTTGCTTGCTAAGATGGCGCATGAGCTCTGCCAATCGGCTCGGCTCGAGCCGACTCCATTAGGGAAGCTAAACGACTCAGACCTATAACTGCAACGAACAGACACGCGCTTTCCGTTTGCGTGAGAGTAACGCGCGTTTTTAGCCGGTAGATTCGTTTGAATTACGGATTTGAGATCACACGACATAGCAGGCGAAACAGCTTGCATGATTTGATTGGGAAAATAAAATGCTACTGCTTTTTTTTTTTTTGGTTATTGGTAAGAAGAACTATTAAAAACGACTGCGTATTTGGAGTACAGTACAAGCTTGGAGTTCTACTGTTTAAAGAGAACTTGCAAGCTGAGATAGAATGGTGGAGGAGGAAGAGATTATATAGTGAGAGGAAAGAGAGTAGATGAATTCTTTTCCAAAAGAAAGTCTTAACGTGTCTTCGAGGGTAATTCCGTCAAATCCTTCACCTACCACATTCATTTGATTTTCCTTGACGATATTCACTTTTTAATTCTTTTTATATTATACATTTTTTCCTTTTGAAGATGTGTAGAGATTTTTGTTAGGAAAAAATGGTGAATAACCGGTACGTGTTAACCAATGGAGACCTCCAAGTATTTTGTTGCTGCTAATTATGAGTAAAAAGATCATTCATAATAAAATAATACGAAAGAAGATATTTTACGTGTCAGTTGTGGAGTTGTCGTTTCCAAATAAAATGCTAACGTTCTTTCGAGATTTTGTCTATGTTTTCAAGTTTCTATTTTAGTTTTTTTTCCCTTAGCATGATTACTAAACAGAGTAACTAAAAGAATACTAGATGCCATGTATATCAGGCAACCATGTGGTGGTGATTTAGTGGTTAAAAGGTTACTTTTTGTCTTCACTGCTTTTTTTTTTATTGAAGACAAAGATTGAGTTTTAGCATGCATATAGCCCCATTTTTTTTTCTTTCTATTTGGCTATTGTAAACGATTAGGTACTAAAACGTTCATGGTAATGACTAATGAGTTTAGTTCATTGGAATCTGATTATGATATTTTTGGGTAGAATAAATATAGTACGAGGGAGCATTTAGCATAAGTAGCTATGTTGCTATTCTAGACCAAACTATAAATCTATTTTGTTATAATATTTTTAGAAGTTAGAAGATACAAACTAGGTGCATAGATATCCACTAATATCATATCTGATTCGCTCCCATAATTTAGATATACATGGATTCGTATTTTTATAATTACAAATTTAGGTATATGGATCCCTTATCTGAAATCGTTATTCTAACCGAAAAATTATAAAATATTATATACGCAAGTTAAAAATATATTGAAATGTTTATATCGTTTTTCATAACATTCAGATTATAATCTTTCAAAGTTCATGGTAACGTGTTATCATGTTAGCATATAATAAAGTTTTACCAAAAAAAGGTTTTCAATATAGAGAAAGCTGAATAACGTTGATTATCGGATTCACTTTTATTTTCTAATATTGTTATACTATATAGTAAATCCACGTGTCGTGTCATGTATTTTGTGATAACATATTTCTTCACACACCGAACAATAATCTAAAGTTCTAACTTCTAACTAAACTAGAGGCTAAAGAGTCTAGATATATGATGATCCTTTAAATGAACCTTAAAAGCTTAAGTTCTAACTTCTAAGTTGATGTAGATGTAGTCAGTTTCAGTCATATAGTAGCTGCTTTAGAAATATAACATTACATATACGATCATAAATCATTAATTGATATCCTTAATACTATTTCCGTATATTTGTACCGTTACATGGCTTCAAAATATTTTAGAATAATATCATGATTAAACATTATTTTAAAAGCCTAATATGTTTTCCTTACAGAATTAGCTTCAGAAATTTGAGCAAACCTGAGCTGTACCATTCAAGGAAAGCACTTGAACGACGGCCCAACTCAAGCTACCATAGACACACATTTGAGTTAAGTGAGAGACAAACCTGTAGGTTTATATCTAATTGTGTGTTTTCTGAACTGAAACGTAGACATACAAAAAGCACATAGTACTAATATAAATTTGTGGATGTTGATATATTATCCTAATATATAGTCTTTATAACTCTAATAGAATGTATATTCACCACGTACATCCCATTTTTAGAATATCGTAGCAGCGAAATATATCTAACCTCACAAGGAGCTGTTGGATTATTAACATAACATAGATATTATAAAAAAAATAATCATTAAAAAGTCAAAGAAAAAACTTACTACTAAATTATATATATGTGAAAAATGGCAACAGATTGCAAAAAATACATTGGTATTTAAGAAATATGTTGCTTTACTGAACCAATAAGTTAGAAACTTGTTTTATACGGATTTATCTATGTAATTCAAACAATTTTGAGAAGCGTTAATTTTTATTTTCATATTTGTTTGATTACTTGTGAACATCCAATTTATCAGATAGATTTATATTTCTAATATGTAAGCGTTGGAATTGGATCTATTATTTTGGAATAATAGTATCATTTTACTTGTTAATCATATATATAGTTATAATCATTTAAATGATTATTAAACGAAAAGTGTTAAGTTTTAAATATGCCTAATTTTTTCTCGAAACTCTTTGTTAAATGCTGATAGCAAGTTAGCAACTTAACAAATTATTATTATTTATTATTAATTTTCTTAACATTACCAACTTTCTTTATATATATATATGTGAGAAAAAGAGGCTCGCAAGTGATACCAACAAAGGTTTATCGTTTATGTAAGAAAGAATCACTAACAGCTCCAATATGCCATAATTATGTAAGACTTGTGTCATATTTGCTTCTTCTCTTAGTTTAAGCTAGACAGATAGGTGTGACCTTAGGGTTTAAAAGTGATGCCCACCTTCTAATAAACGCTTGTTCAATTTCTTCCTTTTAAAGAAAGACTACACATATTGATGATTAAAACTACTAAGAAAATAATCAATAAACGATTTTTGGCCTTAAAACTAAATCGATGGGGTTGTTGAAACCTATTTTTTATTCATATATTTTAAAGGTTTAATATGGCAAAGTTGGTGAATATCCAAGTGGGACTATCTAACATTGTACCTAAGCATGTTGAATTGATTCTTTCTACATTTCTTTTCATCTCTCTTGAGCCTCTTAATTAACGTTTTAAAATCTGTAACTTTTAACTTTGTTTTAAAATATGATTGGTGAATTTTTAGCAGTGTTTTGAAAAAGCGTTCTACATGGCCGTCTAGGCATCACCTAAACGTTAAACTAAAAAGATTTCATATATACGTTTTGTTTGTAAGCGTTGGTATTAGACGAAACATATAATTTAGTGGATTTAGCAGTATAATCGGACTCGGTTGCTTAGACGCCTGAATGTTGTCTTTTTAAAAAAAATATATTTTATCAAAAAATGATGTCGTTGAAAGTAGATTCGTAAACTGTCTACAAAAATGGCTGCCACACTAAACCTTAATCTCAAAGGAAGAAGATGATAAGTTTTGATGTTGCACGCGTGTGAATCAAGTTATATTGGACTTTAGTTTTGGCCAATAAAATACTTATTTGCATATTTTGTCCCTTTTAATTATATATATATA